CGGGAGCGCGCCATGTATAGAGGGGAGGAGGGGCAGAGAGGCTGCTTTTGTCTGTTCAGCAGCCTGTTGCTCAGGGGAGGGGGGAGCCTGTTGCTGGCAGGGGGGGCAGCGGGCGTGGGGAGGCACTTTTCCTCTGCCCGGCAGCTCTGCGGGACCCCAGTCGGAGCCGGCCCGAGGAGGAGGAGGATCCTAGGACCCAGGTGAGCGAGCCCCGGGAATGCTGCTGCGCATGTGCGGGAGTTGCCTCACCCCGTTCGTATCTAGGGATCCGACGTAAGTCGGATCCACGTAAGTCGGGGACTGCCTGTAATAAGATTTAGAGTTCAAAGTTTATTACTTTAACTGGGGTTAACAATCACTTCCATTCACACACAGCACTGGGATGCTTTAAATTAAAAATAAAACAAGTTGATTAACAAAATGAGATAGGGTTTTAAGTGAGTTCAGGTCTGAAGGAGAGAATTTGAAATGGTTATAAGCAAATCAAAGTGAAAAACACTTTCTAGAGGCCAAGGGCTTGTCTGCACTGGCAAGTTACTGTGCTGTAACTTTCTCACTCAGGGGTGTGAAAAAATATCCCCTGAGCATAGCAAGTTACAGGGCTAGAAAGTGCCAGTGTAAACAGACTCCCAGTGCTGTACGTTACTCCCCTCGTGGAAGTGGTTTACCTAGAGCTCTGGCAGATCTCTCTCCCAGTGCTCTTGCCATTACCACATTGCTGAGTTAAAGAGCTACCAAGGCAACACTTTAAACTTGGATGTGTAGTTAAAGTCTATGACTTAAAAAACCTGTGGTCTTGGTTCAAGGTCAGATTCTTATCACACTTCCTTCTGACAAGATGGCTGATCACCTTGATAATCAGGATCTCCCACAAAGACAAAAGTGCTCAGTTTCTTTGTCAGCTTAGGTGGAAGATCTCTTGTGGATCTCAGCCCCTCTCTTTTATTGAAGTTTTGAAAATGAATCTTTCTTAAAGTTAATAGCCCCAGCTGTGAGAGAAAGTGTCATGGAGTCTGATGAAGGTCTTGAGTGGTTGTTTCTATAATGGAAACTGATTGGTTTCCTGCAGTTTCTTTTCTGTGCTGTGATGCTGAATGGTTATCTTCTCCCCTTGTGGCATTGATGCTTTTGTTCACCTCTTATGTAAATATGTTCCCATTGATTCTTATTGTAACCTGGAAGTACTTCTAAAGGAGCAGAACCACATTTCTTTGTCTAGGGTGGAGGTAGCTTCAACCCTGCCTAGCAGACACATTTTAAGAACGTAACTTCCAATATGTTTGTAATTTTGCATTAGTCCACCATACATACACCACACAATAATATTAATTATCATTGTGTTGTTAGTGTTCTTTTGATATCTTACATGACATCTTTTAAGTACAGCTTTATATTAGTGAGATGTGTACATTGAATTGGTCAAGCCAGGTGAAACTCACTACCATTGGAATGCTATTAAGATCACAGTGGTTATTCATGCTTGTGATCTGAGTCTGTAAGACTGAAAGATCCGGGTAACTTCACTTGGAAAGATAGGAGTCAAAGTGTGGTCTGGTCTCCACCTAAAATGTTGATTAACATAGCTGTCTCACTTGGTGGTGTGAAAAATTCACACTCCTAAAAGATGTAATTAAGTCAGCCAAAGCCATCGGTATAGACACTGCTAGGTCCATGGAAGAATTTATCGCTGTGACAGGAAAAACCCTATGTAGCAAGTGTCTATTGTAATGGCAAAGCTGCAGTGCTGCTTCTGTAACCTTTGTAGTGTAGCTATATCTTGTATTTCAGCTCTGGCATACTGCTAGTTGAATAGCAGCCTCTGAAGAAAGAGGCTGTAGGAAAGATTATATTTTAACACAAGATTTTAGTTAGAGAAATAAGTGTATGTTTTCTGTTGATAAGATTGTTGCTTTACTTTTCTTGCATTTAATTATGTTAGAAATGCTGCTTTTTGTCATATTATAGTAACTATTTTTAAAAGGCTAGCTAATTTTTACTCTTCCTGTGACTAAATGCTTAGCTTGCTATTTTGGTAGACTTGCATATATCTTTATATATGTTGTCGTGGGTTTTTTCCTCTTTACCTTGTGAATACTGGAGTTTATCTCTGAAGCAATTGGGATTATGAATTTAATGGGCAGGTGCCATACAGTGTTAGGTAACTGCATACCAGATGTCCAAAAAATTAGTAGGGTTCAGATTTTAGACACTTGCCTGGGAAGAAAGAGAGTCAATTAAAGCATACTGGAAAAAAAATCTTTTGAAAGGAAAACAAACCTAAGCTCATTTGAGGATGGTTCAATTGTTTTGATTCACAGACTGAATTGCATATCAAGTTGAAGGTTTGTCAGCTAGGCTATCCAGGGATAACATCTCCATTTCTACAGGCCGTATTTGGGGTAACGTCCTATGACCAGCTCCATCCTTTGGCTCCCCTCCACCTCCTGCAGGCTGTACCCAGTCACAAGGAGACAGTGAGCACAGGTTGGAGGATTCGGGGGAGGGGGGAAGCTGTGGACTAGAAGTTGGAGAGAAGTAGCAATTTCCCTTTCAGAGCACTGCTTCTCTCTAGCCACTGGCTGTGGGGCTGCCCTTTGCTCCTCCAGAGTCCCCCGTCAGCATTTGCACTGATCACCATTACCCCAAGGTTGCAGGTGAGCATTTATATGTATGTGCAGATGTTTGTAGCTCAGGGATGCTTGTATAGCAGTTAAAAGTGTTACACTTGTAATTATTTTATCTTATTTTGTTTTTTCCTGATGTTGTGGCCTATGGGGATTGCTTTATTTATTTAAAGTTAATAATAGTCAGTGGCGACAGACCAGAATAGAGTCTTTGAAACATGCTCTTCATTGTTTATAAAAGGATCCAGGAAGTTGACTCTTTGCCTCAGATAGGTGTAAATATTAAAAACAAAGGTACATTTGGTAGTAGCAAAAAACAGAAGTTATTTCTTCTTTTCTTTTAAAGAATTGGAAAATTGCATTGTTTGGCTCTTTATTTAGATAAGGATCACAACCATTACAGGAACAAGAGGGTATGGAATGGGAAAATCCTAAATTCAGCTTAATTCCTTCTGAAACATAGTCAGAGGGAACTCAAGGACATAAGCTTTAGCCATGAGACTGTTATACAAGAAAGAATCAGATGAATTTAGTGGTAACATCTCTAGATTTGTTGTTGTTTCCTTTAAAAGGAAATTAATCAAATTCCCTTTGATAAGTTGACTAACCCATCTTTTTGGAGGCTACATTCAGACCAGTTGGATAATGTTAATTGAAAGGTTGTTCTGAGCACAGTGGATGAATTACATGGAAGGAAGACATGGAGTTGGCAGCGAGCAAAGGAAACAAAAGGAGCAGTTGGAAAAGAGGCATGATCAGAACATGTGCAATAGGATGTCATGTTATAGGGTACTGCATCCTCTGCAGAGCTATTTTGCTCTGGCAGCCAGAGCATATGGGTCTCATTAGCCCACATTCAGGAACATAAAAAGTAGATAGTCCTGAAGGCAAGAAAAGGTGTTAGAGAAGGCAGATAAAAAATTCAGGCTAAAGTTTCTTCTTTGTCTCAAGGATGATATGAAGATGAGGGGGAAGGAGGTTAGTATCGACTCTAGTCTGTGTGTGCCATATTGAGAATTGAGTGGGGGATTCCCACCATTCCTACAGGCAAAGGGTGTGGCAGGAGGGATGAGATCAGAAATGTAGATGTGGGGAGGATTTGTGGAGCAATGTTAAAGTGAGAATCAATAAGCTTGAGTTGAATGCAGAAAACTGGAAACAGCTAATGTTGGGAAAGGAAATTATGGCAGCAACTTTTTGCACAGATTGAAGTGGGAAAGTGAAGAAGAAATGCTCACAGCAGCCAGGGCATGGCTAATCATTATATCAATGGAACTAGAGAGAAAAGTATAAATGAAGCTGTTATGGGATAAGAGGGAAGGTCCTCTCATGGACTGGGAATTGGTTTAAAGATGGGAAACAAAGGGTAGGTATAAGTGAACAGTTATCAGAATGGAGAAATAAAGGTAACTAGTGGTGTCTCCCAAGGGTCTATACAGGATCAGTTCTATTCAAATCTGCAAAAAGAGCGAGTGAAGCGCTAAAATTTGCAGATGATACAGAACTTTTTAAGATACTAAGTCCCAAGCAGACTGCAAAGAGCTATAAAAAGATCTCTCAAAACTGCTTGACTGAGCAACAAAATGGCACATTGGAAAACATCATTCCAACTATATATATATATATATATATATATATATATATATACACACATACACATATATGGTGATGGCGTCTAAATTAGCTGTTACTGCTTAAGAGAGAGATCTTGGAGTCACTGTGGATAGCTCTCTCAACATCCACTCAGTGTGCAACAGCACTCAAAAAAAGCAAACAAAATTGGGAATCATTAAGAAAGAATAGAGAATAAAACAAAGTATCATATTGCCTTTATACAAATTTGTGGTTCGTCCATATTTTGAATACTGCATGTAAATGTGGTCGCCGCATGTCAAAAAAGATAGGTTGGAACTGGAAAAGGTTCAGACAGTGGCAACAAAAATGATTAGGGTTATGGAACAGATTCTGTATGAGGAGAGGTTAGTAAGAGTGGATCTTTTCAGCTTAGAAAAGAGAGAACTAGGGGGGGCGGAAATGGTTGAGGGCCATAAAATCCTATCTGGTGTGGAAAATATAGATAAGGGAAGGAGTAAATATCACTCTTAACACAAGAAGTGGGAGGGAGTTTCACCAAATGATATTAATAGGCAGCGGGTCTAAAACAAAAGGAAATATTTCTTCGCACACCACACAGTCAACCTATGGAACTCCTTGCTAGAGGATGTTGTGAAGGCCAAGATTAACAGGGTTAAAAAAAAAAAAAGCTAGATAAATTAATGGAGGCTAGATCCATCAATAGCTATTAGATAGGATGGGCAGGGATGGTGTTTCTAGCTTCTGTTTGCCAGAAGGTGGGAGTGAGTGACTGGATCACTTTATGATTACCTGTTCTGGTCACTCCCTCTGGGCCACTGTCAGAAGACAGAATACTGGGCAAGATGGACATTTGGTCTGATCCAGTATGGTCATTATTATGTACTTAAATATAGTGCTATAAGAACAACGATATAAACCAATGAGGCTGCGGATATCACAAAACTATATTGTGTGTTCTGAAGATCTGAGTCATGCAATTGTGTAATACTAAAATATTTTCAATTTCAATTACACCCAGGAGCTGGAGTGGTGGTCCAGCCAATAGTGCGAAATTTACAAACTGTACTTGCTGCATTATTAAGCCTCATGCAATTAATGAAGGTAAGTAACATGGACCTGATCACACTGACAGTACTAATTTTGGGGGAGTAAAAGTTTTCAGGGTCAGGAGCACTTCACTACTGACTCAGAAGTGCTGTGTATCACAATCACTGCCTTTTACATGGTTTATTGTGCTGATTTTCATCTTCAAAGAGCAATTTGTGTGCTTTGGATAAGTTGCATTTTAGAATAAAGAAAACAAAAAGCAAATGCAAATTTCCATGAAAGGATGTCACTTAGTCTGTAAAAGCTTTCTCAAATTGCCATCTTCACTAGAGGAGAAGGGTGCATTACACAGGAAACAGACTTACAACATTTCTCCTATATCTGCTTAGCTGCATACAACATAGTTATGTCTTCAGTTCTTCCACATTTTGTTTTTATACTTAATGGCAGTAGTTAGGAAATTTGAATCCTATAGCAGAAGACGTAGCTCCTGTTGAACTAAAATTACTTAAAGCTATCGTTCTTTGTAGCTCACTGAAAGCACATTGTCATCTGTATTGGGGAATGCTATGTCCTTTTGTCATATGCTTATTAGAAAAGCTTGATGTCCATGCATAACCACGGATAAACAATTACATTTCATTCCCTAGCCTTCAGATGCAGGAGTACAAATATTATACTACAAACATTGTTTCTATTAGTGTTTTGGCTCTTTAGAGCTAAAGATATTTGTATGAAGACATAATATGTTGGATATAGCAGAGATTTTTCCTAAGCAGCTTGTAGGGCACTGCAGCATTTTCAGTGCCTCCTTTGTGGAAGTGGAAGTGGAAGCAGAAGCAGAGGAGGGGGTAGTAGTGGTCTCCAGATTTCTCACTTTCAGATGGGATAGCTGGAGAGCTTGCTGCAAACAATGGTTTTCCCAACAAAGGATCTTGAACTTGCTGCTAACTTGCCCTTTCTGTCAGTGAGGGCTTTCATAGTATCTGCTACTGAAAACTATGCTGTGCAGCCAGAGCTGGAACGATTTAGCACCAGCAGCAGCCCTGGGCTTTGATCGTAGACAGATTGGCATATTTATCTGTTTGATTAAAGTGGAAAAAGCAGATGGCAAAATTGTCAGGCACCTGAAAGTGAGTTGTAAATTACAAAATGAAGGGCCTGAGCTGGGCTTTTTTAACTTTCATGCATAATTATTATTACCCGATGAAACATCAGGAATCTCTTCCCTTTTTAGTCCTCATCCTACCCTCTGTATGTTGCCTATGGCTGAGCAATTGCTGGGGAGCAGATTTAATTCCTGAAGGCCTGTCCTCTTATAGGCCTTCTTCCTCCCTCTTCATCCAACCTTTCTTAGATACTTTCTAGTCTTGGGTCTCTTACAAATTATACCAATACTACCGTGGCATCTTATATGCACATATGTAGTGTTTTATGTTACCTGGTATCCTGTGATGAAAGAGCCTATTGTAAATGTACCTGTTGCAATGTACCAGCATTAAAGTTGCTGTTGAGAGCCTTGTCTCTGACTTCCTTTTGCAATTAAACTCTCAGCTTTAAAGTCACATAAACTTAGCCTTTGACTCCTATTAATTTTGTTGCTGTTAGAGTTTAGCACATTATAGTGCTTTGTGATACCCCACTATCCCTTCAGTGTCTAAACCAAGGGTGGGCAAAAGGACCTCTGCGGGCCAGATCTGGCCCTCCAAGCAGGTGGATCCAGCCTGCAGAGGTCCTGCTGTTCCCCCACCTCCAAGTCAATTAGGGCCTGGGCACGGGGGAGTGTGCAAAGTCTCCTTCTGCGCTGCCAGGAGCATGTGATGATTTGAAGCACCATGCGCTGCTCACAGGAATGGGGAGAGTGGAGGAGGTTTTGTACGTTCCCCTGCTCCCAGGCCATATTTGGCTGAGGGGTAGGGTAGCGTGGGAAGTCTCTTCCCATGCCAGGAGCATGAGTACCTAGGAAAACGTTGGGGGGTGGTGGCAAAGGCACTCCGTCAGCCCCAGACCAATCATTGTCTGGGGGAGGGGGGCCTGGAAGTATCTTGGTCCCGCCCCTTCCACTTGATGCCCCGCCCCTTCAAAACTTTCCGAAGTGATCTCCGGCAAAAAATTATTGCCCACCCCTGGTCTAAACACTTCTCCTCATGCACAACCACAGCCATAGGCTGACGCAGAAGGAGATAAGCAAACCACTGAAAGGGTTACCAGCAGTAGTTATGTTAGAGTAGATGACCCACTTAGACCTGGTCTACACTTAGACCAGGCAGGTCAGCTTAAGGTTACACCATCCAGCTATGCAAAATTTGTTGTTGGAATTGACTTACCTTAAGCTGAGCCGCTGTGGTCTATGCTGCAGGAGGCGGATGGGAGCACGTACTCCCATCAGCTTCCCTTACTCCTCGCTAAATGAGGAGCACCACACTAGCAGGAGCTATCCTCAGTGTTCGATTTGGGGGGAGGGGTTCTACACTAGACCCGCTAAATTGAACACTAAAAAGGAACCTCCAGAGGTTCGATCTTTTCTGTAGTGTAGACATTACTTTAGAGAGCCCCAGTTCCAGTGGGATGAACAGAGGTTGGGGAACAAGCAGGTGAACCCTGGCTCTGGCATGAGTAGTAGGTGCAGTAGTTGCAGGGGGTAGAGAGCAGGAGGATTGTAGAGGAGCAGACAGGCCTAATCAGGAATTGTATTTGCAGGCAGGGAGAGTTGGAGAGAAATGGATGAGTTATTTAGTTTCAAGGAGACACCAGGAAGAGAAAGTGTCAGGAGATATACCCCTTCCTCATTTACCCACTGAGACATTGAGTTGGCCAATAGCATCTCTCATCGTATTATAGTGGAAGCAAATAACATGGGAACTAAATAGAATGTGGTCTGATTGGTGAAGTTGCATGTGTGAGAGGGTGAGACACTTTGCAAGTGAACGGTTCACTTTCTTGTATGAAATATCAATGCTTCTAAGTTATACCTGTCAAACCCCCAACATTTCTAATGGGTCAGGGAGAGCGAGAGGAGAAATGTGTGCCATTAGAAAAAAATGAAATATTGTAGAGCCTTCAATCAGTGTGAGAGGTGGCATGGACAAAGGAGCAGGAAGAGGTATTGATGCGGTATCTGAGAAGCAGAAGCTTTCAGAAGAAGTGAAAGATTGGATTTTGAGTTGTACAAGTTTTTAATCTAGAGCAACTAAAAATAAACCTTTCCAATTTCCAGGATTTGAACATGATTATCTAATTTACATGAACATAATCAGCTCATTACATGTGTACAATTATGTGCAGTTGTACTAAAACACTTAAGTGCTTGAGCCTACAGCTTTCCGTCTTCCCTTCCTCTTCAGTCTTTGATTGAGTTTATGATTTAAGATCTGCTTTCTGATCCTATTTCTAATTGATTTTTCCCCTGCAGACTCTATATCATAACATATTGCAGAAAGGTGGCACATTTAGCCCTGTGTTGGAAGACACAGTCCAGTTTAACTATAACTGATCCAAGGAGCTTTTCTGTGAGCTGACTGGCTATCAGAGTCCAGATTCTAATCTCTAGTTTGCACCCAGTTAATTTTAGGACAGAGTCCTTTTTTAGAAGCTGACTTTGATTACAGCAGATGATTTATAGGGCTCCTATTCAATGACAAAGCAGTGGAAAATCACTGTTGCTTTTATCTCTGGACTCTCTGATCCACTCCTGACTGGAATAAAGAAACATCTGTTGCTAGGCAGCCAAAACACCAGAACTTAGCAACCATAGTACCTGCAGCAGGAACGTGAAGCAGTGATCAAAGGCATGTGATACTTGGTGTGAGTGAGAGCTCTGTAAATGTCTGCCAGGATGCAGAGAAATCCCAAGGCCAGATAAAGGGATGACTGGGAACTAGAAGAAGTTTAACTTCAGCTGCTGAGAGTGATAGTGACATGTAATTCTTGGAATGGGGGTGGAGATGTGGGTGCTGGGGATAATATCACGATCCACAGAAAAATGAGTGAATCGTGTGATGTCTTTTAAAAAAGCAAAGTACTCACTAGTTTGTCAGTCTGCTGTCAGTGTAATACTCTGCCTGATAGGGGAACAGAGCTTGGGTCCGTGGCTCCCTGTTTGGGAGTGCCATGCAGGCAATGTATTCTGGCCTGGGAGGAGGAGAGGAGAGTTGATCATTCTAGCAACTCCTCTACCCCTGGATGAAGCAAAGAACTGCTTTGGCTAATGGGGTGAACTGGAGGGTTGGAAAGAATGTGGCTGCGAGTCAGTGTTCTGAGAGAGGTGGTGAAGTGTTTGTGCTTTTGGATTCTGCCAAGGACTTATAGAAGCATCCCATTTCCTCTTCGTGGAAGTTTGGCTGGAGGCAGGACAGAGTGCATGGTATGTTTATAGGAAGCTGTATTGTTTATGTAACTGTACCAACATAGCAAATAACCTTTTCAGTGGGGAAATAGGGAGTCGGAGAGATTCACCTTTCTATAAGAGTCCCAAAAATGTCTCCATTCTTTTTCAGGCTGTTAAAAGGCAGGTAATTGACTAATTATGTAGTTGATAAAAATTGTATTTGGCTGCAGAGCTTGGTCCTGCCATGGGGGCAGGTAGACTGGACTTGATAACCTTTCAAGGTCCCTTCCAGTTCTATGATTCTATGACTAATCACTAAGTGAAGGTGCTCTGTCCCGGCTTGCACCAGTCCAAGAACTATCCCCCCTGTGTGTCTGCAGTTTAAATGTAGTAGGTGCCAGGCGCAAAGGCATTTAAACTGGAGAGGTGCAGCAGGAGTAGGACCCGGACTGTTGCAAGCTAGGACAGAGCTGGGACCACCTGGCTCTTACTACATTTAAAATGCAGAGCCACAGCAGTCCAAGATAGGTGTGAGCTGCGACTGAGCCAAGCTTGTTCAGTCCCAGTTCACGCCAGGTCCAGCAGCCCCGGCCACCACAAGCAGAAGCTGTTTCATGGCAACAGCCTCTGTCTGCAGCGAGCTTGCATTTTAGAATAAAGAAAACAAAAAGCAAATGCAAATTTCCATGAAAGGATGTCACTTAGTCTGTAAAAGCTTTCTCAAATT